AGTATTATATTTTTTACAAACAAAATCTATCTCAAAAATAATGTAACATATTTATTTAAGAAATATTTTACTTTAAAATATTTAATTTGCATGCAACTTAATAAGAAAAAGTTAAAAAATTTTTAAATCATAACAATGAAAAATGAAAATCACTAATAACAATTTGAAATAATTTTTTATTTTTATTTTAATTAAGTCATCAAAATGATGTGTCATCCACATCAGCTCATTAAAATCACACAAGCAAAAAAAGTCAAGGGCTTAACGAGTTTAAAAGGTAACATGTTACCCATTGCTATACTAGGTAGATTTTTTAAAGTATAATGCCTTAATAAAGAATAATTTGAAAGTACATTGATGTAATAAAGAAAAACAAAAATAGAATGCTATAATAAGAAAATTTATGAAAGTAAATTGTTATTTCATGCATTTAACCCTAAAAAAACTGTTAATATTGTTTAAATCTGTCGAACTGAGTTAAAGTGAACTGTTTTTGACGGTTTAAATGGTCTGGTGACCTGATCTGTTTTGAAAAATAGTCATACCATTCAGTTTGGTCTGATCTATGGTTTAAATGATTTTTTTAAGAGGTTTGGATCGAACCGACTGATAAAAATACACATATATGAGTTATATTTAGTTTCATGTTATAGACTTGACTTTTATGGGTAAATTAAAAAAAAGTATGTCAAATCTGTCAAAAATCAAATCTAAATTCCGAATCATCATCCAACTTGTTAATTGTTTGTCCAAAACTCTGGACTTGTTTTACTTTTTTTCAATCTGATCAATGTTTTTCTAATGTTGGAATTAAACGTTTCTTTTATAATTTGATATACTATTTTTTTTTAATGGTATATTGGTAGAAATTTGATTTTTGATATAAATATTATGTTTCCGTTTAAAGCCCCTAAAAAGCCTAAACCGACTTAAACCGGTTAGACCAGACAACCTCTTTTGGTTTGGTTTTACCGAACTGTCCGGTTAAAAAAAAAATATAAACAGCCATTACAGTTTTGTTTGGGTGCGTTTGGTACACTAGACATGGACAGAATAGAACAGGACAGAGATCCTTGTCCCATGTTTGACGTGAATTTTATGTGAAACAGAATGGAACAAAGTGGAACAGGCCTGTTCCACCCTTACCCCATGGAACTGGGTGGAACAGACTTATATTTTACCAATATAACCTCAAAATAAAACTTAATTCTCTTCTAAAACATCAAATAGGTCTCTCTTTTACATTTTATTCATTTTTTTAAATTTTATTTATTGTATTTTATGTTTCTTAAACTTTTATTTTACTGTCCTCAAAATATTAATTTTTATTATGTTTCTATATTTTTATTAATTTATGTAATTTATTATATATTAATAATAAAAAATAATGTAGAAAAGAGATAAAAATAAAAACAGAAAACCACATAAACTTTTTATTTAGTGTCATTTTAATTGTTTTGACGAAAACTTCAAATGATATATTTTGTTATAAAAAATAATTGTTCTATTATAATTCAATAAATTACATAAATTGTTTTCTTGATTTTATCACCGTCAAATGTATTGCGTAAGGTTCACGCATGCAATTTGTTGTTTTCGATGAGTTTTGTATGTTTTCCCTTGATCAGGGTAGTAAATATTTGATTTTGATCTTATATTTTATTTATTATTTGATATTTAATCCATTTTAATTGATTGTGCGCTTGTTGGTAGTAGTATTTTCTTCTTAGTATGGAATGCATATAGAATTGCTTCGATAATAGATTCTTGATACTTATATTATATTTACCTTTTTCAAATATCATTAATTGATTATGAAATCATGTATTTTTGCAAATGTATTTTTGCAAGTAGTAGTGGTTTGATATAAGTTCTACTTTGCACACCGTATTTGTTAACATTTATATTGATTATTTAGTTAAAAAACACTAAACATCTTATTGGAGGTAAATTAGTCATTTTAACCAGTTCTGTCCAGTTTTGTTATGTCTTACCAAACACTGAACAACTGTCATGTCCTGTCCTGTCTGCATACGAAACGCATCCTTTATGATTTAAGGGTTAAACCACCAAAATAAACAACAAACACCCATATTCAAAATTCTATCTACAATATCAGAGGACATCTGGACCCCACAACATTTAGTTACTAGATATTTACTTAATTTAATCTGTTGCTTTATTTTTTTTTTAAAAGTGACGGAATAGGAAAATTAATAGAAATAGTTATTTACAAGTTTTGGATTTACTTCTTAAGTAATTTATTTTATTAAAATTTTAAAAATATCACTAGGTCGATAAGCGACAATTCCTTAATTTGTGGAGTGGTTAAAATGTAAAAAAAAAGGCTTCTAAACCTGGTCCGCAAGTGTAATAACTAAATCTGGAAAGTGGATAAAGGTCTGTAAGTGGCACCTCCGCCACTTACGGATGTGGTGCGACTAATTTACAGATTTTGTACTTGCATTTGCAGAACTGGTTTAGAAACTTCTTATTTTTCTACATTATGACTCATCCACAAATTGAGGAGGTGTCACTTACGGACTGAGTGACATTTTTGAAATACTGAGAGATTAAGAGATGAATCCAAAGTCTGAAAATGGCTACTTTAATTAATTTCGTGATGGAATATATATCATTTTTATGTCAAAATCAAGTTAAGTTATGTATTAAGGATATAAAATTTAAAATTTTACATTGTGGAGTTTTTACTGCAAGCTTATTTTATATCTTGTTTATTTCACTCATTGTTACCTCAGTAACTCAAAATCTCAAATATATATCCATTAACAGAAACTTCTTTAAAGCTTTTTGCATATATTTTCAAACTTTTTTCAGGATTTCATCATTTTAACTAGGGGTGTTCATGGGCTGGGTTGATCGAGTTGAAGACATTTGAATAATCTGATTCAATGCTTGCGGTTTGAAAAATCTTAACTCAACCCAACCCAACCCAAACCGTGCGGGTTGATCGAGTTAGTTAGGTTGGTAGGGTTGATACTTTGGTACATTAAAATATTTTTCTAACATTGAATATGTTATTTCCCTACTTATAATTTCTTTTTCATCATCAATCATTTGATACAACTTATTCATACTTCTTATATATATATATATATATATATATATCACATTCAATTATTCTCTCAATTTACATATATATGTTCACAGTTACTGAATATATATACGAATGAGTTATATAGAGATGAAGAATAGATTGAAAATATGTATATATGAAGAGTGTACGTGATAGTGTAATTGTTATATATATATATATATATATATATATATATATATATATATA